AAACTTAAAGAGAGCCGAGGATAACTAGCGGCAGACACGGAGAAGCTTAAAGAATACCTCGCGAAAAAACTCTAAAAACATGAACGTTTAATCCCCCGTGACTGGAGGACTGAAAAGATGCGCAGCAAGCGTTTTATTGGTGGACGGAAATTACAGGAAACGTGGGTTTGGAGGTGGCGAGCGCATGAAGAGGTGGAGAATGAGAGACAAATTTGTCTGTTTGTTTGTTTTGTCTGTGTCCGTGTGTGTGTCTGTCTCTTGCGGAGCTGACGGAGAAGCATGAATCAGGCTTTAGCCACAGTAACCGGCCACTTTTTCAAACTTTTCTCCACTAACCTCCTCTTTTCCACCTTGCTCCTGTCTGCGATCCTCTTTAGAAGTGTCCCTGCTGCCATCTCCTATGATTGCCAGACTCTTGTCCTTCCGTTCATTCACGACCACCCAAGATGCACCGAGGACGTACCTCCCTGTTTGTTTATCTGAGTGGCGCACTGGCCCGGTGCCAAACGACGATCCCATTCAGGGCTCCTCCAGCGATGTTTATCCGGTCCTGGGAAAATGTCAGAGGAAAAGAGGTAAACGAGCAGGAATCCAGGTGAGAATAAAGCCAGGTGTACACTGTGTGACTTTTTCACTTTTTTGAGCCGATTTTCCACTCGTGCGAGAATCCTCGAGATCGGGGCGAGTTTTGCGCCGAGCGTCGTGTAGTGTACAGGTGGTTACGAGAGGCAATTAACACCACGTGACCAGCTACCGATCAGCAATCGTGAGCTCGCACAAACTTCTGGCGTGTTTAATATTTCGCTCGTCCCTCGTGAGGGTATCGCACTGTTGAAGCGGCGCTGCGAGCAGCTGCGACCCAAAAAGTATCAGAACCACTCACGGCGCATGTGCAATCCTGTATCAACGCTGCTTGCCCGCTATTTCCCTAATAACACACGCTGTTCATTTTTGTTTCTACACGTTTTCTTACTCACAAAGATTGTCAAGAAAGCGTGTTTGTCGTGTTCATGTCAAATTAAACTGATCACAAAACACAGATTTACTTTCTTTATTTCGTTTTCCTCATCCAACCCCCATAAATCCCTGTGTGTCCTCCTGCAGCACTCCCGAAGGACAACAGGCAAAACAAGACAAAAAAGTCTGGCGTGTTGTGTAAAAACTGCTATTTTTAGCATATTTTTAGGGCCGACTGTTGCTACCAGACGTACAGTGTGAGCAGTCAGGTCGCATCCGAGAACTGGGTCGTGCAGTGTGAGCACATGACTCGTGAGATCTGCCCTGCTAGGAAGTCGTACAGTGTGAGCTGAAGCTGAGTGCTACGAGTGAAAAAGTCGCACGGTGTACGCCCGGCTTAAGACTTCTCTTACCCCCAAATTCCACTACCTCCGCTCCGACACGAACGCCGGAGCAAAATTGGTCCCGTTGTAGTCAATCAGAGCAATTCCACTACTGCGGCCGTTCTCCGGCAGTGCGGCGCCGTGCGCCGCCCTCTGTTCCGGCGTCTGGCAAAAATAGAATCGATCCTATTTTCGCCGGACGCCGGAGCACCTCTGCAGTAAATGGACAGAAATCACAACGGCCCAACAGGAAAAGGAGCAAGCACAACTTCCGTTTTTCACAATAAATCGATAAACAAAAGGCGTTTTTTGTTTCATATGCACAGGTTTAACAACTTTTAACAACTATCAATGGCGGCTGAAGTTTAAATGCACAAAAGTAAGCCATAAATACAGTTTCCACTATCAAAGTAGTCACACTTTGTTGATACAAACACTGCTGATCTCTCTACACAAATGATGGGCAGATTAAACAGCTCATGCCCATGCTTCTCCCACACAACGGGTGTTTGGATCTAACTTCCGCGTTTATTGCTCGGACTGTATCGCAAGATCTCGAAAATCCCGCGCATGCTTGTTTGCCCCCCTCAGGTCTCCGCACCGGAGCGGAGCCGTTGTAGAGCGGGTACCAGTAAAAATTGAGTTAGGAAGCGAGCGGCTGCGGAAGGCGGGGCGGACCGGAGCAGAGGTAGTGGAATTTGGGGGTTAAAGCGTGGTTTATCTAGTAAACATCTGCGTGATCTTCTAGCTTCTTGTCCTTTGTTTGGCAACTTGAGCGCCACTTCCGCATTCCCGTCAGTTCGTGTTGCAGCGCGGTTTCTCCGTCCAAGTTTTAAGGTTGTTTTATCCTCATTCCTCAGTGGTTTCTCCTCCTGTTCCCTCCGTAAGTGGTTTTTATAAACACCGTGTATCTAACCCTGCTAATTTACGTCCACTAACTCCAGCTGTTTCTGTAGTTTCTGATTCCTCCACCTCACTCAGCATGGCTCTATTAAATACCCACTCTGTTAACAAGAAGTCCTTCCTGCTCAATGATCTAATTCTCTCTAACAAACAGAATAGATGCTTAGTGTCTCCAAACCTCACAAATGCCATTTCCTATGATTTGCCTTGTCTCAAAGAGCAGACACTAAAACATGTGCATATGCAGAAGTGAAGATTTGACACAGAACTGCCAAGTGAATCATGTTGAAGATGAGACCTCGGGTGATTTCTAAAGCTACACATACCAGAAAGTGTAAGGGACAAGGTTTTATACGGGTATTCATTATTTTCTGAGACAGTGCACAGCTCAGAGACAGTTGTGTCTGCAAAGGAACCAAAAAGATAAGCCGGCGGGTCAATGAGTATGATTTATGAATGAGGTTTATAGTTGTGTCACGCTAGTCTTTGGTAGGACAATGGGGCCTGTGATCAGAATCGGCTGATTTCAGAGAAAAGCACAATACAATAAATGTTTCTTTGAAAAGCTACAAGCTCCGGCCAGATAAAGGAAACAATGGAGTGTAGGCAGGAAACAGTAAAATGGTATCAAGCATATATTCAACCAAAATCATGTTTGGGTCAATACTTATTTTACTTAAAGGAACTTTACGGACTTTAGAATTTTTATGCTCGTGATTGCCCCCTCAGGCCAAAAGCGTAACGGCAGCTTCAATAGTAGGCTCGTACACGAGGCGCGCATGCTGTACGTGCACACTCCTTAACGAAAATAACAGCTGAGTTAGTCCCGTGTGTGTGTGTGGCCCGGAGGACAGACGACAGAACATGCAGCTAATTAATTAAATAATTTGGTTCTGTACCTTTCTCTTCAGCACAAAGGTTTAAGATGGGTCAGTCCTCCTGCATGCTCAGATCATTCCCTTCCCTTGCTTGAAAAATTGTTCCAAAATTAAAGTTGAACCCACATCTTTTTTATCTGTGAATTCAATGCCGTTCGGTGAGTCTCAGATAAAAATTTGGGCATCTTACCGTAAAAAAATATACCATTAATGTAAAAAAGAAACTCAAAATGAACTAAGTTCACACCCAAAATTGAACCCAGGTCTTCTGCATGGGAGTCAGACATCTTACTATGTGAGCTACACTCTAGTAACATTCAGATTATCTGTAACATTTATATCTTTAATGACACCTGAAACAACGTCAAACCAAAGAACGGTTCAGAGCGAAAATGGCTATTTTGTTGCTAATTTGCAGGAAATATCTAGAAGAAAGTTCTACAGAAAGTAGCTAAGGGTCCTCAGAAATGTAGCTAGCTTTGTCACTAGGCGTTAGGAACAGCGACAAAGTGGCACTGCATCACTCTCTGCTGCTAAAGCTACGGATAGCAAATGCTACGGGCTATGCCTGAGCGTGAACACGCATGAAGCAGCCTGCTCGACCCGAGCAACTCTCATTTTCTGTGATTTTACAGAAAAACAGGCAATCACAGTAAAAATGCCAGGGCTCATTCTACAGGACCAGGGCATTGCAGGAGAATGTATGAAGAAGACATTTATTATTTCTTTACATGTTTTGGCTGTCACACTTCCATAATGCCCCTTTAAGAAATGATCATCTCTGAAACAATGATATTGATGCTCTACTGGATTGAGGTCTGGTGCCTGTAGAGGCCATTTGAGTACAGCGAACTCATTGTCATGTTCAAGAAACCAGTCTGAGATGATTCCAGCTTTTTGTCATGGTGTATTACCCTGCTGGAAATAGCCAACAGAAGATGGGTGAACTGTGGTCATAAGGGGATGGACGTGGTCAGCAACAATACTCAGGTAGGCTGTGGTGTTGCAAAGATGGTTTATTAGTACTAAGGGGCCCAAAGTGTGCCAATAAAATGTTGAACTTGTAGCTGCAGTACAGAAAGTCTCCAAGGCACTTTTTCATTGCCTGCACCACTAAACCATGGCTGAAACCGGACACTTGTAGTACAGAGAGCCTCTGATTTATACACCTTCATCACATTTTCTGATGTTACCACACAAATATTGCAATTTTTCGGATGTGCGACATCCACACATTGTTAAAGTATTTTTATATAAATTTAAGCACATGAATTTTCAGAAAAACTGATTCAGATGCGTCTTTTACACAATTCTAGAGAGAAAAGAAAAGATTGTGTAGAATTAAACCAAATTGACCCACGTGAATATAAAAGTACAGTAAGTGTGACACACATACAATAAAAAACTAAACAAAACTAAACACTATTTCAGTGATGTGTGTGTGTGTGTGTGTGTGTGTGTGTGTGTGTGTGTGCGTGTGCGTGTGCGTGTGTGTGTGTGTGTGTGTGTGTGTGTGTGTGTGATGAATTATCATAAACTTTCTTTGCTACACCCAGGTCCACTCTCTCCAGTTCCACGTCAAACCCTATTGGTAGCGTTGCCACACCCCAGTCTCACAACTCCCCTATAATTGCTCTCCCAGAGTTTGCTGTGTGTGTGTGACATGCCGCCAATGCTTCACCAGGGCCCTCATAAGAGACTCCAAAGCATTTAACAAAAAAGTGTCACTCTATGTAGAGATGCAGGTGCTACGACCAAACCTTGGAGAGGCAACTTTTAACACGGCAATGCTCGTTTCTTCACCCTCCCTCATTTCTCTGTCACCTGCTAACATCTGACCCCCTCCGACAGGCCCAGTTTACTGTCCAACCATCCCCAGCCAACACACTCGTCCTATGCTTTGAGCCATGCACATACTGACATTTGAGTGTTTTACACGTTTTTTAGGACAAAAATAAAAAAAGAGCTTTTTCTTTGGACATAGTTGGACGTTCTGGATTATAGTTTTTGTTGTTTTTATTGGAAACATGAGATATTCCACTTTGATAGGATTCCTGGTGGCTTTGTTAAAACAACTCTGCACATCTGAAGGTAGGCTGATATCTAAAACCATTTTAGACGATGCAACAATGTTTGAATATTTCAGCTGAACCTATATTTATGCAAATGTAGATTGTTAATGTCTTGCCATTAAAATAAAAACGTAAGACAAAGAATGAATAAATCACATTTCTTTGTGACTTTTCAGTTGCACCTTTGAGGGACATAAGTAAGAATATCGTAACTGTAATGATTAAATTGGTTCAGTCTCCATCACGTTTTTCTTGTAATTAAGAGTAAATATGGACCATGACTCAAAGTAAAGTATGGAGTTTTATTGTGATTGCAGCTGCAAAAAAATATTTTAAAAAGAAATGCTCGGTAATATCTCCATAGGTGGGTCCACCCCCATTCTGGCTTCCATTGAGGTTGCCTACCAAGGCGACCAGACTTTATCCCAGGAAAAAGAGCTGCCTGCTGCAGAGATGGTGCCAGTCGTGTCCCCTCCTAGTTTAAAGGAGGTGCAGCAGGCTGTACAGGAAGCCTCAGAGCAGGTGGATGGGCGGGGGGCAGAAGAGGTGCTGAAGGAGTTGCTGGAGCGAGTGGTTGAGGCAGCTATGGGTAAAGCAGAAGCAGCGGGTGAAGCAAAAGATGTGGAGAGACAGAAGAAAGTGGCTGATGGATATGTACCCGGGGTCATAACAGGACAGCTTCAAGCTGAGATACTGGAGCAGCCAGCAGAGGATAAAAATATTAGTCTCGGGGAAGGAAATGCTGGATTTAAAGAAAATGAGGGGGAAGCAGAGGTGGATGCATTTGAAGATGTAGCTGTAGGAGAGATGCGAGTTGTCAAGGGAGAGGGCGAAGCAGCAGCTAGACCTATAGAGAAGTCTTCTGAAGGTGTGGAAGCTAAAGAAGCAGAGAGTTTGGAGGTTATGGATGAATCAGTAGGAGCTAAATTCAGTCAGGAGGATAAAAAGGGAACCTTGGAAGAGACAGAAGGAGATTTAGAAACAAGGAAAGAAGAAGGCACAGAGCTAGTTGGTCTGTCCGTTACAAAGAACCTGACTAAAACAGAAATACTGGCTGGAAATGGAGCTCTGAGTCCTGTTGAGGTGGAAGTGGATGTTCGGCCAGAGCAGGAAACTGTGGATGAGTCCAGACCTGGCCTGGGAGGGGCTGATCATGAGCAGATAGGCACTAACTGGGGAAAAGAAGCCACTCTGAAGGAGGAAAGTCAAATGGACAAAATAGATGGAGAGAAAATAGTGCTGCCTTCCAAAGATTATGAGATAAAAATAACAAACCCTGTCACAGGAGAGTCAGTAGGGGAGGCGGAGGAGGTAAAAAGAGGAGAATATGCTGAAGGACATGAAGAAGATGAAAATGGGCATGTAGTGGAGGAAGGAGGTCAGGGTAAGGTAGAAATGACAGAAACAAAATTACAGGGGGTGATTGGGGATGAAAGACACGGAGACAGGGTAGGTAAGGAGGTTTCAGTGGCACTAGTGAATGAAACGAGTATGGAAAAAACTCAAAATGAAGAAGAAGAGCAAACTGCTTTGGAGAATTTGCACCATCGTGATTATCAAGGTGAGGTATGTGTAACCTAACAGAGAATATTTAGTGTTCTCAATTCATGGAAAACAATATTGTGTTTAAAGAAAGAGAGAAATAAAAGTTTTTAAATGTCAGAACTCCTTCAAATTTAAATATGTGCTACCATAGTTTTAGTAATTTTCTGAATGTATGTCATTTAAAACGTATAGAATGTAAAACACGAGACTTTTGCTTTTTTAAAGGCAATGCCTTTCAAAGCTTTTCAACTTGCTTCACAGCCAATCTAATCCGTCGACAGATGTTTACATTTTCTAACCCACATCTTCACTTTTGTGAAGCCAATCCTCTAGTTGTTCAAGCCTCAAAACATGAGCTCTTAAGTTAATTTTCACATGTATGTGTCACATAACTCCTTCTAGAGACTCTGGTGAACCCTGGGCTTGGCAACAGCACTGAGACATTTATAGAAAGGAGACGTGAAATCCAGCTTCCCACCCCAAACCCATCAGTTGGTCAAATGGAAGCTGAAGAAAATACCATTGGTCATGAGAAATCAAACTGTGGTAAAAGGATCATTACCTCGACTCATGGCTTTTTGCCACACAACCATGGCAGGATCCAGCCTACATTGGATGATTTTGATAATGATGTTCTAGCCAAATACCATCAAACAAAAGGAGGGAAACAAGGAGAGGGCAAAGAGCCAGTGGAAAATACACCTGGAATGAGAGGTAAAACTGTGTTTCAAAGAAAAGCAAATCCGCACGTGTTTATGTATACACAAGCTTTTGTCTCTGTGCATACTCATTCATTATAGGCTAACTGATTTCACCAGTTGTTGTCTTCACCGTGTGTTCTTTTTAAAATCTTTTTAGAGACTAATAAAGGAGGTCTGGAGGCGTGGAAAATTGGTGCCATTTTTGCTGCAGTCTTTCTGGCTTTGGAGACCATTGTAATAATTGTATATGTCATCAAATGTCGGAATAAAAAAAGGTACGTGCACCATTCTCGCTGCACATGGCCTGGAAAAGTCAAACAAGGGTCTGAAGAAGAAAGCCAATAGACATGAAAAAAGAAGTGCCCCACTGTGTATTGTTACTGTCACTTCAGATGTAATTGTCAAACCTCCCTGGCATTAAACTGGTGGTTGTAGAAAGGAGTAGAAAGTCTAAATTAGTCTCGGTAAGGACATTTATTATGTTATACGCTGAAAAATTGTTACTTGTTGTGGTCTATGGTGGCCTATCTCATTCTTCTAGCAGGGAAACCCTGTCCTCTTCCCAACCACTCCCGACAGCATCTCCATAGTGATCCTGTGGTATCCTCTGGCCAGTTGACAATCCATCTGATGTGTCCTGGATCAGGGTTTCCTCCTGGAAGTATATACCTGAAAGACCTCCCCCAGGAGGTGATTATTGGCCATCCTAACCAAACCAAATGCCAGAGCCATTATAACACCTCTCAATATGGGAGAGCAGAAGCTCTAGTCCAGTGGTTCCCAAACTTATTTAGCCGCGCACCCCTTCTATGTTCCGACCATGTCGACGCACCCCCCAGCCCCACATCAGGGCATGGCAAACTATATGTATATATATATATATATATATATATATATATATATATATATATATATATATATATATATATATATATATATATATATATATATATATATATATATATATATATATACAGCCAGATATATATAAATATATATATCAGACGTCACGCTAAACAGTCACTCAACAGACAGGGTTTAAAAAACACGATCGACCTTTTTCCCCATCACTTTCATTTTTATGTTTATGTATTATGTATTTTTGAAATAGTAATTAATAAACATTCGATACCATTACAATTTCCTTCGATTTAATTTTAAATCAATATTTAGAGTGCCCAGGTAGCACAAAACCAATGCAATTTAACGGTTTTCTTAAAGCAGGAACATAATCTCCATCTTCAGGTTAAAAACTCTGCTTCACATTTATTTAGAATCGGCTGTGGCTGATGGGTACGCTGAAAAACGAGACGTCAGCAAACTACTACGTGGCGGCACTGCACTGGTCTCCAGGTGAGGCAGCCGCACCTCCACCTGGCTCAGCCACTCACCTGCCGATATGACACAATGGCGCTCTGAGCCTCTCGCCTCCTTGAAAAAAATACCCTCCTCCACTTTTCATCTAATGATCGCAGTTAACTGGAAATCCCCAAGAACCTGTCTGCTCTTTCCCTGAGTGTTAAGTCTACTGTGAGTGTGTGCTTGAGTGCACGCCCAAGAGCACATGCGATCATGATGACTCGTTTCTAGACTGAGAAACTCTGACAGCACATGCAGGGGGGTTGAGGGGGGTGCCATCTATCGCTGCCTCAGTGCCCGTGTCTCAGTCTGCCAGGCAATACGGTTTTCAGAAGCGTTTTTTTGCTAACAGGAAGTGTGGATGAAATAAATCTCCACCGATGCTTTGATTCCCACTTAAGCAGTCACGCTGAGTGTTTTATGAAGATAGTCTCTTACACATATCTTCTGCAGTAGTTTCTGATGGACAATAGACAGTAAAATGCTAGGTTTTGAAAAGCCTGATAGATCTACATCACACAGTCACTGAACGTTCATGGACTCCCCCATCTTGACTCGCAATATAGGAAGGCTGTTGTTTTCTTAGAGCCCAGGAAACAACAGAGAATGTGTCAACTGGCAGAAGCTAAATTTATCATAGCAACTCCACCACACAGCAGAACTCCTTCAAGCTTGTGTCATATGTGGAGATAAAACATCAATGTTGCAAAACAAACAGAGTCAGTGATAGAGTCGCATTGCTGTTATCCAGTTCAATAAGAGTTGTCCAAATGTCAGGAAATGAGACTTCAAATCCTCCTCCTCGTCATCGTCGTTGTCTTCCTCCACTTATCCGGGTCCGGGTCATGGGGGCAGCATCCCAACTAGGGAGCTCCAGACCGTCCTCTCCCCAGCCACCTCCACCATCTCCTCCGGCAGGACCCCAAGGCTTTCCCGGACCAGATTGGAGATGTAACCTCTCCAACGTGTCCTGGGTCAACCCGGGGGCCTCCTGCCGGTAGGACATGCCCGAAACACCTCCCCAGGGAGGCGTCCAGGAGGCATCCTGACCAGATGCCCACACCACCTCAACTGACTCCTTTCGGTCTGGAGGAGCAGCGGTTCTACTCCGAGTCCCTCCCAAATGTCCGAGCTCCTCACCCTATCTCTAAGGCTGAGCCTGGCCACCCTACGGAGGAAACTCATTTTGGCCGCTTGTATACGCAATCTCGTTCTTTCGGTCATTACCCAAAGCTCATGACCATAGGTGAGGATTGGGACGTAGACCGACCGGTAAATCGAGAGCCTGGCTTTCTGGCTCAGCGCCCTCTTCACCACGACAGATCGGCTCAGCGTCCGCATCACTGCAGACGCTGAACCAATCCGCCTGTCGATCTCATGATCCCTCCTACTTTCACTCGGAACAAGACCCCCAGTTACTTAAACTCCTCCACTTGAGGTAGGACCTCTCCCCCGACCCGGAGTTGGCAAGCCACCCTTTTCTGGTCGAGAACCATGGTCTCAGATTTGGAGGTGCTGATCCTCATCCCAGCCGCTTCACACTCGGCCGTGAACCTACACTGCAAGAGCTGAAGGTCAGAGCTGGATGAAGCTAGGAGGACCACATCATCCGCAAAAAGCAGAGACGAGATTCTCCTGCCACCAAACTCGACACACTCCACACCACGGCTGCACCTAGAAATTCTGTCCATGAAGGTAATGAACAGAACCGGTGATAAAGGGCAGCCCCGGTGGAGTCCAACCCTCACCGGGAACAGGTCCAACTTACTACCAGCTATGCGGACCAAACTCACGCTCCTCTGGTAATGGGACTGAATGGCCCTTAACAGAAAGCCACTCACCCCATACTCCTGGAGCGTCCCCCCACAGGCTGCCCCTGGGGACTCGGTCATAAGCCTTCTCCAAATCCACAAAACACATGTGGATTGGTTGGGCAAACTCCCAGGCCCCCTCCATCACCTTTGCAAGGGTATAGAGCTGGTCCACAGTTCCACGGCCAGGACGAAAACTGCGTTGCTCCTCCTCAATCTGAGATACAACTATCGATCGGACCCTCCTCTCCAGTACCTTGGAGTAGACCTTTCCAGGGAGGCTGAGGAGTGTGATCCCCCTATAGTTGGAACACACACTCAGGTCACCCTTCTTAAAGATGGGGACCACCACCCCGGTCTGCCACTCCACAGGAACTGCCCCCGATGACCACGCAATGTTGCAGAGACGTGTCAACCATGACAACCCTACAACATCCATAGCTTGAGATACCCAGGACGAATCTCATCCGCTCCCGGGGCTCCGCTGCTGTGTAGTTGTTTGACTACCTCAGCAACTTCTGCACCCGAGATTGGACAGTCCATCCCCAGGTCTCCCGGCTCTGGTTCCTCCTCGGAATGTGCAAAGGTGGGATTGAGGAGCTCCTCAAAGTATTCCTTCCACTGTCCGACTATAGCCCCAGTTGATGTCAGTAGCTCCCTATCCCTACTGTAAACAGTGTGAGCGAGTTGCTGCCCTCCTCTCCTGAGGCGCCAGACAGTTTGGCAGAACCTCTTTGGAGCCAATCGATAGTCTTTCTCCATTGCTTTCTCCATGGCCTCACCAAACTCCTCCCACGCCCGAGATTTTGCCCCGGCAACTGCCACTGCTGCACCCCGCTTGGCCATCCGGTACCTGTTTGCTGCCTCCGGAGACCCACAGACCAGCCATGCCCTGTAGGCCTTCTTCTTCAGCCTGACAGCTCCCCGAACTTCTGGTGTCCACCAACGGGTACAGGGGTTGCCACCACAAATCGCACCGGCCACCTTGCAACCACAGCTAGCAACAGCCGCCTCAACAATCGCAGAGTGGAACAAGGCCCACTCGGAGTCAATGTGCCCCACTGCTCTCGGGATGCGGTCAAAGCTCTGCCGGAGGTGGGTTGTTGAAGACCGTCTTGACAGGTTCTTCTGCCAGGCGTTTCCAGCAGACCCTCACAATGCGTTTGGGTCTGCCAGGTCTACGCGGCATCTTCCCCTGCCATCTGATCCAACTCACCACCAGGTGGTGATCAGTTGACAGCTCCGCTCCTCTCTTCACTCGGGTGTCCAAAACATACGGCCACAGGTCAGATGATATGACTACAAAGTCTATCATCGACCTGCGACCTAGGCTGCCCTGGTATCAAATGTACCGATGGGCATCCTCATGTTCGAACATGGTGTTCGTTATGCCAAACTGCGGATTGCATAGAAGTCCAATAATGAAACATCACTCGATATCAGATCAGGCGTTCCTCCCAATCACACCCCTCCAGGTCAAGCTGTCATTGCCCACGTGAGCATTGAAGTCCCCCAGCAGGACAATGGAGTCCCCTGATGGAGCACTATCTAGCACTCATCCCATGGACCCCAGAAAGGGTGGGTACTCTGATCTGATATTTGGCCTGTAAGCACAATCAACAGTCAGAACCCGTTCTCCGACATGAAGTTGCAGGGAAGCTACCCTCTCGTTCCCCGGGGTAAACCCCAACACACAGGCAGCGAGCCTTGGGGCTAACAAAAAGCCAACCCCAGCCCTCCGCCTCTCACCCAGAGCAACTCCAGCAAAGGAGAATGTCCAACCCCTCTCAAGGACTTGGGTTCCAGAGCCATTGCTATGTGTCGAGGTGAGTCAGACTATATCTAGCCGGTACCGCTCAACCTCTGCCACAAGCTCCTGCTCCTTCCCCACCAGCGAGGTGACGTTCCATGTCCCAAAAAAACAGTTTTCTTGTCCGGGGATCGGACCGCCAAGGCTCCCGCCTTGGTCTGCCACCCGATCCACACTGCACCATACCCTTCATGTTCCTCCTGCGGGTGGTGGGTCCACAGTTGGACGAGCCCATGTATCCGGTTCGGGCTGGGCCCGGCCGGACCCCATGGGCAAAATTCCGGCCACCAGGTGCTCGCTCATGGGCCCCAACCCCAGGCCTGGCTCCAGGGTGGGACCCCGGTAACCCTCCGGGCCGGGTACTCCAACTTTTTGAATTTACATCCATGAAAGATCCTTTGAACCGTTCTTTGTCTCACCCTTCACCTAAGACCATTTTATCATGGGAGACCCTACCAGGGGCAAAAAGTGCCCCAGACAACATAGCTCCTAGGATCATTAGGGCACTCAAACTCCTCCACCACGATAAGGTGACGGTTCAAGGAGGAGCTTCAAATCCTATCTTCTGAAACTACTTTCTCCTCTGGCTGCACTGCTGAATAAAGCAGCATAGACCAGTATAGCTGGTTACCAGCATATGTGTTTCGGTGTTGGTATGCTGGTCCAGTATGGGAAGCTGGTTGTTGGTAGAGCAGCTTCTTGGAACAGCATACTGGACCAGGTCCAGCAGCAGCTGGTCCAGCAGCACCAAAACATAACATATGCTGGTAACACTAATGTTCGTCTATGCTGCTTTTACCACTAGGCAGAATTCTTCGTGCTGATACATGAGTAGGACAAAAGTGACCACTGCAGTTGTGTTGATTAAACAAGTGTTCAACACATTTAAAGCCCGCTGAAATTATTGGTGCAAACTAGTGTCAAACCATTTCAGGCTTTAAATCAAACAGATGAATTATAAAGATTAGTACTTTCATCAAAATTTAGCCCATCTGGTTCTACACGTGTCTATTGCCCGCTGGTGGAAAGGGCCCATTTTATTTCTTTATTTCTGAGTTTATAACCAAACTTAATTTTTAACCCTCCTGTTTCCTGAAAATAAAATGAGACATGCCGGTTTCACCAAGCTAATAGTAAAACACCTACAGGTATTCATTTTGTTGTAATGGACAGTTGGCATTTCAAGTTTCCACTATAAAAAGTGACTTAATAAGCTGCAGGATTCAATCAATTCTACACTGATTTTTTGTCAATATTTACCCATTAAGTTTAAAAAAAAGTTGAATATCTTTTATATGTGTCTTGTTGGTGAATGATGGTTGGATGGAGTGATGGATAGACCAATTAGTATGAGCTTTGTCGGTAATGGTTGGCGTTTCTGCACGTCGAAGCACTTTATGCTACAGTGAATCATTCACCCATTCACACACACGCTCACATTGTAGCTACAGCAACACTGGGGCTCACTGACAGAAGCAAATCTGGCAGTTACAGGTGCCACCGGTCCCTCCGACCACCATCAGCTTGCAAGCGGGGTAACATATCTTGCCCAAGAACACAACTGACAGGAGCCTGAGTTCCAACCTGCAATCTACCATTGACCTCAACAGAGATGTAACAAAGGTGTTGAGCCAAAAGCCCAACACCTCTGGAGATTTGGATCATGACTAAAAGAACATAATTTTTATATAAATATCCTCTTTGGTTAAGGGGTTCATCTTTGGAGACATGATGAAGTGCTCCACCATCCAATAGTGCAACTGTTCCATCTGAAACAGTGAACAGATGTGGTTTGGGTATGGGATTATGATGTGTCCTTGCCTCCAGGGGGCATCTCCCACTAGACTCGAGGGAGACCCGAGGCTAACCCAGAACTTACTGGAGAAACTCTATATCTTCTCTGGCCTGGAATCCCTCAGAATGGGCTGGAATGTGTTGCTAAATAAACGTTTTTTTTTTATTTTGCTGGATCAATTGCCTCCGTCACTCAATTTTGATAAGCAGATGGAAATAGATGAAAGCTAATCGATTTGCATAATTTGGTTAAAATAGTTTACTTTATGCAAAAAGGAAAAACTAAACAAAAACATTTGACTTCTTTTACAGAACACAAAGAACCCGGTTCACAGGGTAGAATAACCTTTCTGATTTCATTTACAATATTTCCTTGTTTTGGATTTTAGTTAAAGCAGCGTTTCAAATGAATGTGGCCGCAATGTGGTCCTTATTTCAAAATTATAAAACATAGAAGAAACAAAATGCATTCAATCAGCTTCTTTGTGTATTTGGTCCTAGTCAACGTTACTTCCCTTACAAACTTAAAACTAAAATCAAATCAGAGCCAAATACAATCAGCGTGGATGGGATTAGTTGTACAATATTGTACTATTCTTATTTCTGCATATTGCTGCCATGTGTTTTCTGGTTTTACAGCAAGTTTAAAAGAAATACTCATTCCAAAAATTTATCTCAATGCAGCCAGTAGTCTTGTTGGGTCCAAATCAGCCTTACTTATTATGGTTCAACACTCCTAGCCAAATTAGCTCTTGTAGCCTGCCATCTTATAATATCCTTTTGGAAGGTTTTACTGCATTAAACATCAAAACAGACTTAAACAAACAAACACTTCCTCTACTGTACTAATAAAAACGTTCTGTGGTTCACTTCACATTCCGTCATTATTGTAAGTCTGACTCATATTCTGTTTCTATGCATAAAATTATAAATAATGCCTCTACATCAAGCATTATTCACCTCCTTTACTTACAGCTGAAACAGACCATCTGATCGCTAGCTGTAGCACCGGCAGGCCTACGATCACAGATGGGACTCACAGCAGTGCTGGTACACGATTGCTTCAGACGTTGCCCAAGCTGCAGTTAACATTTCAGCACTGACAGATGATGAAATGAGGAGAATGTGCTTTGTATTGGCACTGAAATTTCCCTTCACTAAAACAGAAATTCCTATGTTTGATCAGGTGCCGTATGACTTATTATTTGCCCAAAAGGTTCTCAGAAATGTGTAGTTACTTTGTAAAACGACAACAGTAGGCAAAACGGTGATAATGTGATGTCGTTGGTGTGTTTGTGTATGAGCAGTGCTTCCACCATGCAGCGAGCCTGTGAGGAAGGGCGTGTTGAACCAGATGCAGCAACAGGAGGCGACTGCGGTGATCATTCACGACCGATGGGGACTATTCAGAAGTAGGTTCACACGACGCGGTGATGCAAGGATCCAAACAGAGCTTAAACATGCAGGTTGACAATAAAAGTAAAAGTCAAAACTAAAAAAAATACACAGAACAAAAATAGAAACGCATCACTTTTGTTTTTGCTCCCATTTTTCAAGAGCTGAACTCAAACACCTGCATACCACTCAGAGTATATTTAAGGTATGACCCTTGAGAGCTAACCAGAGGCATATTCGATGATTTATTTCCAAATGTTTCATTGAACTGTTCCAGTACATGTTCAGGCAAAACATAAATACCCATTATTTGTGATTTTTAATCCTTTTTGCCATCAGTAAAAGTTACATCGTTCGGGTTTTACTCAACAGGTTCAAAGACTCACTCACAGAATCCACACACCTTTCGTCCAAAAATACTGAACAAAAATATGGACGCAACACTTGTTGCTCACATATTTTGTGAGCTGAACTCCAACATCTGAAACTTTTTCTACATGCACAAAATGCCCATGACTCTCAAATAATGTTCTAAAATCTGTCTACATGTGTGTTAGTGAGCTATTTTTCTTTACCAAGATAATCCATCCCACCTCACAGGCATGGCTCATCAAGGGGCTGATTAGACTGCCCACAAGAAAAGACCACCCTGAAATGAGCAGTTTGATCAAACAGCACAATACCACAGATGTTGCAACCTTGCGGGAGCATGCAATTGTCATGCTGACCGCAGGAATGTCTGCCAGAGCTGTTGCCCATGAAATGAATGTTCACTTCTCTACCATAAGCCGCCTCCAAAGGCATTTCAGAGAATTTGGCTGTACATCCAACTGGCCTCAAAACCACAGACCACATATGACCACACTAGTCCAGGACCTTCACATCCAGCATGTTCACCTCCAGGATCATCTGAGACCAGCAACCCGGAGAGTGACAGCAACAATCGGTTTGCATAACCAGAGAATTTTTGCACAAACTGTGAGAAACCATCTCAAGGTAACTCATCTGCATGCTCGTTGTCCTCATCGGGGTCTGGGCCTGACTACAATCCGTCGTCGTAACCGACTTGAGCGGGCAAACACTCACATTTGATGGCGTTTGGCACGTTGGAGAGGAATTCTGTTCAAAGATGAGTCCTGATTTTCACCGTCTAAGGCAGATGACAGACTGCATGTGTGTGAGTGGTTTGCTGATGTCAAGGTCGTGGAACGAGTGGTCCATGGTGGCGGTGGGGTATTGGTATGGGCAGGCGCTTGTTATGAACAATTAACACAGGTGCATTTTATTGATGGCATTTTGAATGCACAGAGGTACCGTGACAAGATCCTGAGGCCCATTGTTGTGCCATTAATCCACGACCATCACCTCATGTTGCAGCATGATAATGCATGGCCCTGTATTGCAAGGATCTGTCCACAATTCCTGGAAGCTGAAAACATTCCAGTTCTTGCATGGCCAGTATACTCGCCATACATGCCACCCATTGAGCATGTTTGGGATGCTCTGGATCTGCGTACACCACAGCATGTTCCAGTTCCTGCCAATATTCAGCAACTTCACAAAGCTATTGAAGAGGAGTGGACCAACATTCTACAGGCCACAATCAACAACCTGATCGATCAACTCTATGTGACAGAGATGTGTTGCCCTGCGTGAGGCAAATGGTGGCCACACCAGATACTGACCCCAACCCCCATTAAGCAAAACTGTGCACATGCCAGGGTGGCCTTTTGTTGTGGGCAGTCTAAGGCACAACAGTATTCAGCCCCTTGATACACCACACTGGTGATGTAGGATGGATTAACTCTGTAAAGGAAAAGTGCTCACTAACACACATGTAGACAGATTTCAGAACAATATTTGAGAGTCATAGGTGTTTTGTGCATGTAGAAAAAGTTTCAGATGTTTGAGTTCAGCTCATAAAAAATGTGAGCAAAAAGTGTTGCGTCTATATTTTTGTTCACTGTAATTATTAGTATTTATTAAACTGATCCTCTAAAATTAATCTCGTTTTCATTTACAAAAGCCAGTTGTCAGCTGATTAAACATCATACACTGACCTATTAGCATGTGGCTCCTAGAAACTATGAGTTATTTGCTTTTTCAGCTGATTACATCTAGGCTGTGTTGCGGGCAATAAGCTCAGGATTCTGCTCACAGCATCACATGAAAGAGGGAGATTGTGACCCCAGAGCATTGCTGCGTAACACCAGGACTTTCCTAATCGGCCTGGCAGACTAGAATCAGTAATAGGTCAAAGGTGTGTGTGTATGCATGAGCCACTTGAATGCTGTGGCAGAAACGTGTTAAGAAATGTAGAAGTCATGGGATTATTGAGTCAGTCTGCAGAAACTAATTTTAGACACAGATCACAAACGTTGTAGTTTGTTGCCTGTAGAAGTAAACATGTGCAGCACACAATGAGAAACTAAACACGCTACATCAAATCGGGCATGAATTATTCATCAGTCAGCTGGTTCATCTTAGAATGTGTCCTTGTAAGGAGAGAAAATGGAGGCAATTACAATCCAGTTGTTCTAGTAAATCACTAAATCACTGCCAACAAAACAAAACCACCATAAAAGTCGCTGAGAGTGATGTGAAGTCTTATATTAGACCCCATTGTGTTACAAAGGGCTGCTGTTTGTACATTTGTGATGCAAGAAGCCAAGATGCAGAGCAAGCTGCTGCACAGTGATGTAACTGTGGCCTAACAGAGATTATAAAAGCTTAATGGACATAATGAATATTATCTGGAGTAAATATAAAGAGTTTTCGCAAAAACAGATAACCACTTTTTTATATATTTTCATAAAACGCATCTTCTTATGATTTACTTATTTAGGTTACTATTCAAAATAAAGTTTTGTGGTTTTGATCAAAAATTGCTTTTGTCTGTTGTTGCAATTTAACTGTGAGGATTTTTCAGGAGTGTCCAAAGTAAAACAAATACTCAAATTTGACACTACAAGTGGAATTCAATCCATCCATCCATCCATTAGTATATGCATCTGTACATCCATCCATCTATCCATCCATCCATCCATCCATCCATCCATCCAACCATCCATCCATCCATACATCTGTACATCCATCCATGCATTCATCCGTCCATCTATCCATACATACATGCATACATGCATCTGTACATCCATCCATCCATCCATCTATACATACATACATACATACATGCATCTGTACATCCATCCATCCATCCATCCATACATACATACATACATACATACATACATACATGCATCTGTACATCCATCCATCCATCCATCTATCCATACATACATACATACATACATACATGCATCTGTACATCCATCCATCCATCCATCCATCCATACATGCATACATACATACATGCATCTGTACATCCATCCATCCATCCATCCATCCATTCATATATGCATCTGTGCATCCATCTATCCATCCATCCATCCATCCATCCATCCAACCACCCATCCATACATACATCTGTACATCCATCCATGCATTCATCCGTCCATCTATCCATCCATCCATTCATATATGCATCTGTACATCCATCCATCTATCTATCCATCCATCCATCCATCCATCCATCCATCCATCCATCCATCCATCCAACCATCCATCCAACCATCCATCCATCCATACATACATCTGTACATCCATCCATGCATTCATCCATCCATCCATACATACATACATACATACATGCATCTGTACATCCATCCATCCATCCATCCATACATACATACATACATGCATCTGTACATCCATCCATCCATCCATCCATCCATCCATACATACATACATGCATCTGTACATCCATCCATGCATTCATCCATCCACATATCCATCCATGCATCCATCTATCCATCCATCCATCCATCCATCCATCCATCCATCCATCCATCCATCCATCCATCCATCAAATCAAATCAAATCAAATCAAATCAAATCAACTTTATTTATATAGCACTTTTCATACATAAAAAAAGCAACTCAAAGTGCTTCACAGATTAAAATGGCCCCATAGAAACCATATTCCCATCCCAGCCCCCCTCCCCAAGTATAAAACAATGGACAATTACGCTTCCCCTCCCGCACCCAACTTCCAAAGTGGACATACGATCACACACACACACACACACACACACACACACACACACACACACACACACACACACACACACACATACACACACACACACACATACGTGAACAACAGAGGAAACAAAAGGCTGAGTTCAGATGGGTCAGGTAATGAACGACACATCATCAGTGGAGCCATCTGCCCTGACATCAACAGATCCAGGGCAGCAGCCTAGACACCGGCCCATGACACCCAGTGGGGGAGGGCAGAAACCCCCACCACTGCCCAGGCACTACCCGAGGAGCGCCCCAGCCGCCGCCGCCGACCACCGGCCCCAAGGCAGAGGGCTCCGCAGAGGAAATGCTGGAGGATTAAAATATATAACAAGCTAATATGGATAAAAAGTAACTGATAAAAAGTGATTATAAAGATAGTAAAAGAAAACATAATCATGTAAAAACACTAAGATGTAAATAAAATGATAAAATTAATTAAAAGAGATAAATATGTATATTTATAAATAAACAAATATGACAGACGATTCAGTTGAACAGACTAGATAAATCGTAATCAGTTAAAAGCTAAGATAAAAAGGTGAGTCTTGAGCCTATTCTTAAAAGCCTGGACGTTCCTGAGCCCTGAGGTCCTCCGGCAGCCCGTTCCAGAGGCGAGGGCCATAATACTTGAAGCCTCGCCGTGGGTGTGTCTTAACTTTAGGGATAACTAAGAGACGGCTGCCAGAGGAGCGCAGAGACCACGAGGGTTTACATAGTAAAAGCAGTTCTGAAAGATAACCGAGACCAATGAAACTTAAAAAACTTAAAAACCATTAAAAGAACCTTGAAATCGATCCTGAAACATACGGGGAGCCAGTGCAGTGATTCTAAAACCGGAGTGATGTGCTCCCGCTTCCTGGTCTTCATCAGGACA